TGCCGACTCCAGGGGCTTGCCTGGTCCCCTCCACCCCTGGAACTCCCGGACGGAAAAATTGCTTTTAGATGCCCTTCCTGGGCCCCTGGAAGCATCTGGGTTCCCTCACCTCTTGAGCAACTGGGGGTGACAACTATGCCACTGTTTCTGCCACCACCAGCCCAGGTGGGCAGGGTTGGGGCTGCCTGGGAGCACAAGGTGGCCGGGGCTAGAGCAGTCCAAGAGTGGCAGTACCCATCGGGGCGGCTTCCAGTGCTGGAGGCTTTTCATGCTGTCGGGTAACGCAGGGAGGCGAGGTGCCAGGGTGGTGGGGCTGGTGGTGCAGGAAGCCGCTCTGGGGGTGGAGTCAGTGGGCCACCCCCGAAGCCTGTGGGGTTCCCTGGGAAACTGTCCAGACACAGATCCAGGCCAGGTCCCTGCACGGCCAAGCTGACCAGTAGCGCCTGCCCAGGATCCTCAAAGTGAGGAGGCTGGGACTGGGGTGACAGTGCCTGGTTGTGCTAAGCTCAGGCCCTGGCTTGGCTCACCGACCCCTCCCTTCCAGCCCCCTTTAGCCACATGTCACTCCCGAACTGGGTTCCACACCAGACTCAGCCACAGCCAACCTCCACCTCACTGAGCTTCCGATTCCCAGCCTGGCTGGGGATGACCGCAGTGCCTGTGGGGTGGGGTGGGGTTATTGGGGTGGCATGGTGCCCTCTCAGGCGGTGTTCACTGCTGCTGGGGAGGGCACAGGGTGGTGGCCCCCAACTAAGCCCGGGTTCCCGGGGCTGTTGGCAACTGCCACTCCATTTCTACCAGCTGAACCCCTCCTGCCCTGGGAAGCCGCTTCCCACGCTGCTGGGCACCATTTTTTTCGTAAATGCATGGGTCCTTGTCTGAGGACCTCTGTGACTGAGTCCTTGAACCTTTCCAGGAGCTGCCTCAGGCTGGTCTGGTGGTTGCGGGAAAGGAGTTGAGTTGGGCACACCTGCACCTGGGGTTCGTGTGGCCTGTGGGAGGCAGGTGGCCATGATCTGTGACTTCTGCGGCCTGGCTCAGGAGTCCCATCCCCAGAGTCTCCACCTCTGCCCCTCCCACCTCTGCCCCTCCCACCTCTGCCCCCTCACCTCTGTCCCTCACTCTTCTACCCACCCACCTCTGTCCCCCCACCTCTGCCCCCACCTCTTCTGCCCCCACCTCTGCCCCTCCCTCCTCTGCCCCCCACTCTGACCTTCCACCTCTGCCCCCTACCTCTGCCCCTCCCACCTCTACCCCTCCACCTCTGCCCCCCTCCACCTCTGTCCCCTCCCCCTCTTCTACCCCAACCCACCTCTGTCCCCCACCTCTGCCCCTCCTCCTCTGCCCCCCCTCCCTCCTCTGCCCCCCACCTCTGCCCCTCCCTCCTCTGCCCCCTCCCACCTCTGCCCCCTCACCTGTCCCCTCCCTCTTCTACCTGCCCACCTCTGTCCCCACCTCTCTGCCCCTCCCCACTCTGCCTCCTCCTCTGCCCCACCTCTGCCCCCTCCCTCTCTGCCCCACCTCTGCCGCCCACCTCTGTCCCCCCACCTCTGCCCCTCCCTACTCTGCCTCCTCCTCTGCCCCCACCTCTGCCCCTCCCTACTCTGCCCCACCTCTGCCCCTCCCACCTCTGCCCCCACCTCTACCCCCCACTCTGACCTCCCACCTCTGCCCCCCTACCTCTGCCCTCCCTCCTCTGGCACCCCCACCTCTCCCCCTCAAGCTGTCAGAGCAGCGGGCATTCTGCTGGCTGAGTGAGAGTCCGTGGTGGAGGGAAGAGAGGGATTCGTGTTCTGTGAACCCCAACTTGGAAGCCTCTGGCTGCACAGGGGGGTGTGAGACTCCCCGGCTGCCTGCCCCCGACAGGTGCCGGACGGAGGCCGAGCACAGGGCATCACCACTGCTGCTCTTTCTACTGGCCCCATGCAGTACCTCCAACACAAGCACTCGATAAATATTGGATTTTATTAAATAAACTCCGGGGATTGTTTTATCCATAAGCCTCAAATTGGTTTTATGAATAAATAGCCACTGGGGACTGTTCGTTCTTAATAAAGTGTCTCAGTTCCTTGGAACTCTAGCCCCAGCCACAGGAGGGACCCACGGGATAGTTTATCACCCCGGGGACCTGGAGGGGATGCACCGATGGACCAGGCCCCGGGCTCATCCTCCAGAGCCCAGGCCCCGGGAGGACCAACCCCACTGAGCACAGCTGGTGCAGGAGGCAGGCCCTGCGTCCGCCTGACCAGGCCCAGGCCGTCTTTGCAAAGCCCAGAACTGGCCCAGTCAGAGGGTCTTGAGCAGCCCCGGTGGGTCTAAAGCTATCTGGGAAATGCCTTTTGGCTGCTCTAATAAAAATGGTGGCTGGGTGCAGTGGCTCATGCCTGCAATCCCAGCAATTTGGGAGGCCGAGGCGGGAGGGTGGCTTAAACCCAGGAGTTCAAAACCAGCCTGGGCAACATAGCAAGAGCCCGTCTCTACAAAAAGTAGGAAAAAAATTGCTGGGTGTGGTAGTGCGCACCTGTAGTCAGTCTCACCTACTCAGGAGGCTGAGGTGGGAGGACCGCTTGAGCCCAGGAGTTTGCCGTGATTGTGCCACTGCTCTCCAGCCTGGGTGACAGAACAAGATCGTCTCTAAAAATAATGATGGGGGAAGTTCAGGGGAGACAGAGCAAGAGGCAGTCCTGGAACACGTGGGTATCTGATCCACTCAAGCTCTGACATGAGGTGTGGAGTTGGGCTGGAGGCAGAGACCGGAGCCGGGTCACCACGAGACTTTATTAAAGACAGAATGCACAGACATCAAGCACCCACAGCCTCTCTAGCGACGCTCCCGTACCAGGCTTCTTCCACCGGTCACTGTGCTGGCCCTCTGAGCTCCCTCTGCAGCCCTGTCCAGCGCTGTGTGGCCCAAGACACACACCTGCCAGTGCATAGGGGGCCAATGTGGCCAGCCTTGGGCCAGAGCTCCCCCACATTCCCACAAATCGCACCGAGGCCTGACCTCAGCCCTCTGGGTTCGCCAAGTCCTGCCAGCTGCTTGGGGCCACACAGTTTGGGGACACCCTTTTCTCTGAAAGCAGATGGAGAAATGGAGGCCCTGGGGAAGACCGGTCTGCTGAGGTCAAAGCTTAGTGTCCTGTCTCCTTGTTCCGGGTTCTGTGTGTCCTCTGCTGGGTCCTCCTGCTGGTGCATTGCTCCCGAAGTCACAGGACAGGGGTCTGCCGCTGGCCACGGGCCTTCTTCATGTCCCCTGTCCCCCCATCTCACACAAACGGTACCTCCCCTCTTCCTTCCCCTCCCTCGAGTCAGCGTCCTCATGGTTTGAGATGGTTCAACAGTCCTCCAAATCTCTGCCTGGTCAGACATGCCCCTGGGTGACAGGGCCTCCAGAGACCCTGGCTCCCAGCTTCCAGGGCTCTGGCCCCAGCCAAGCCAGCCAGAGGCCTGTGTGGATGAGGATAGGTGGCAGGAAGGGTAAGGGGGACCAGGAAGAGGGGGGCGCTGGTGGTACAGCTTTTCTGCCAAAGACAAACATTATAAAACTGATTTACATGCAGCTGCAGGGGAAAGCCATTTGAGAACGGCTCATAGCTCTGTTCCTATCTCCAGCTGAATGTGCTGAGGCCACCAGCATGGAAACCAAGGGTCCTTCCATCCTCTGGACCCTGGTGCTCAGGCAGTCAGCTGGGTGGCCTTTGGTATAACTCTGAGATGTGTGCGAAGTTTAGGGGAATGGAGCAAGGCCATTTATTGATCCACAGAACTTGCCTGTGCACATGGAGAGGCAACGGCGCAGGTGCACCGCCTCCAGGTCCCAGTGTAGCAATGCAGAGACCCCTCCCACTCAGCTTACTCCCCTCAAGTGAAGAAGCAGGAGGAGGCTCAGTCAGGCGGCATTGTGGGATGGAGGGCCACAAGCACCCGCCCTCAAATTGGGCCCCGGGGGATAGGGTTTGGGGCCCATGGGTCCCAGGGGACCCTGTGCACACGCCAGCCCTTGGCCTGGTCAGTCAGCCCACAGGTCTCCAGCTGTCCCTCGCCCAGGGCTCTCCTAGCATCCCCGTCCTCCAGTCTCAGATGACAGCCATTTGCACTGGTATCAGACTGTAGGCTCTGCAGGGCTAGGGTGAGAGGCTGTGGCCCAGAGCAGGTGCGCAGGGACTGATTTTCCCCAGTGCCAGTCTTTGAAGGTGCCCCTGGGGAGGGTGGGGCCAGTGCACTGGCTTGGGCCCTCCCCACCACGTCAAGCTCTGTGCCCATTCAGCTGGTGCTTGGTGGGGCCGTGTGCCCTTTCCTGGTCTGGGACGGGGGCTGGTGCTCTAGGGCGGTAACAGGGCTCTAGAAGGGACAGGCATCTCCAGTGCAGCCGGCCGCTGAGGACAGATGCTGCCTGGACCTGGACCACAGGCTCCCAAAGGCCCCCTCCACTTGCCCCCAGCCCCTTGCCAGGCTCCAGCCATGATGCATCTGTTCTGTAGCCAAGCCCTGGCACGAGGGCCCCGGTGCCTCCTGCTGTACCCGCACATCTGTGAGTCCATTAACTTCACACTCACCAGGACTTTGTTTGATGACACATCAGAAAGCGCTTGGCACTTTCTAAGCAGCCGCCGGCATTGGGAGGCTGGTAGCTCCCGCCTGGGGCCTGTCGGTGGGGGCTCCTGGGATGAGAACTTGAGTTCCACGCGGCCTCTGTAATGTGACAGGGTGCCCTGGGAACCCAGGTGGTCTGGGTGGGCTCCCTTGGCTTCTAGAGGGTGGGAAGAGGAGCTGAGGGGGGATTTCCCTTTGAATCTCGTGTGGTCATTTTACCCACATCTTGCCCCTCGTGGCCCCACACCTGGGCTGCTCCATCCACCAGCCCAGCCACACTGGGCTGCCACCGCCTGATTCTTGGCTGTATCTGCGTCCAGCTGAGGACTGAGAGGGCAGGGACCAGGTCCTGTCCAGCAGGCAGGGCAGCCCAGGGCCACGGCAGAGGGAAGCGTTGCAGACATCTGCGCATGTGGGTGACCTGGTGGCGCTGGAACAGACACCAGGTCTCACGGCCTCTCCCACCGCCCCCCTAGTGGTGCCGAGTCAAATGGATTGTTTTTTAAGCACAAACTTTCGTGGGAGGGGAAGGGAGAACGGAACCCCACACTACCCAGGCACCTGCCATCGGGTGTCCTTTGGAGGAAGCCACCTCCCCTCCTGCCTGAGGAGGGGCTGCTGGGCAGCTCCCCTAGGCTGACTCCAGCCCTCTCAGAGGCCCTGCATCAGGGTGCCTTGGAAAAACCGCCCTGCACCTGGGCCTGACGCAATAATGCAGGCGGGTCCAGGGCTGCTGAGCAGAAAGCCGAGGACCCGGCTCCAGCCCTGCCCTTGCAGCTGCTGGTCCTGAGATCCTGCGGGTCTCACCTCTGCGTGTGCGCACACAAGGAGCAGGGATGACAGCGTGCTGGGTGTTGGGAAGATTCAACAAAAAAGTGTCCAGGTGGTGCCTGGTCTGGTGCCCCAGTCCCCTCGACCCCATTTGCCCAGTGACGTGGTCCCTGCCCCTTGACCACTCGCTGGGCCTGGCCTGGGTCCAGATGGCCACAGTCACTGGCAGGAGTTGGCCTCCCCATGAAGACAGCGGCCTCAGGGAGGGGGTCGCCGCCCCCATGGCCCTCCCAGGAGGCCTCAGGACCCTGGAGTCCCTGGGAAATTGGTGGTGGGGGTGGTACAAGCCCCATCCCAGCCCTGCCTAGGCCCCAGCCCAGAAAACCAAGAGCTTCCCATTAGCACAGCCCAGCCCCACAGTGCAGGGTCCCACCCACCTTCTAGAGGCAGGAGAAATGGGATGGGATGGTGGGAGAGAGGTTGGGCCTCATTTGAGACAGAGAGCAGGTGGGTACAGCAGGTAAGGGGACTGGAGACCCCAGGCCTGCCGGGGCACAGGGTGGGTGGCCTCCAGGGAACTGGTCTCAGCCTTGGAGCATGGGTCCCCAAAGGCAGCAGCTCCCCTTCTTGGCCTCAGGGCATGGTAGGATGGGGCCACCCAGCCCACAGCCAGGCCGAGGCCCTGGGGGGAGAGGTGGGTTATCTGGGCACCAGGGAAATGGGGGTGAGGGTTGGCACTGGAAGGGCTGCAGGACACTGGCCTCAGACCTGACCTCAGAGAGACCTGACGTTCCACACAATCCACTAAGAGGGCTCCGGAGGTGCTGTCTGCCCCCTGCTCTCTGTCCCCATAATGCCAGGTGTTTGGGTGGACAGAGCAGAGGGTTGCCTGGGGCAAACTTCACCATCCTGGCCAGGGGACGGCAAACAGCACGGGAGCCACAGTGGGGGCAGGCAGGAGTTGGGGTCATCAAGTTTGCCAGCCCCCATCAACAGAGGCAAGAGATCAGTTAGCTGCCAAATGGAGTGGGTGGGGATGGTGAGGTGATGTGTGACTTCACCAGCCCAGGGGGTTCGTGTCAGGGATGGCCCAGCCCCTCCCTGCTGGAGTGGGTCCGCCAGGCACAGGTGGGTGGAGAACATTCACGAAGGAGTGAGGTGGGGTCAGCGATGGGGCGATGGGGACCAGCAGGACCAAGGACAAGGTGCACCGGTCTAGCGGTCCTCCCGGACCGGCCGGATCTTCATCTCGGAGAACTTGAGTGAGTACTGCCAGCCGGTCCAGGAGGACCACTCCACGCCGTCGGCATAGGAGGTGTGGGCACCACGCAGGTACTGCCCGTTGAGGTTGGACGTGTGGCAGTTGCGGTACCACCAGGCGCCTCGGTAGAAGGCAGCGCAATTATTCTCTGAGTGGTCGCTGTCACGGTCCTTGGTGGTGAACCTCATGCCGCTGTGCTTCAGGAGGGAGTCGCCTGCGCAGGGGTGCACACGGGTGTGGGCACGGGGGGCACGGGTACGCCCACTGGTGTTGCATGTGTGAGCAGACACCAAGACACTGCACGTGAACCTGGACGTGAGTGCATACACGTACGCACGTGCTCTCACACATACGCACTGGTGTGCACGCATGCACGCACACCTGCCCCTCCACACCCAGGTGTGTCCATGCAGGTCACACGCACGCAGTCCCTCCTCGGGCGTGCCTGGGGCTGCCCCTGGGTCTAGGCGGTCTCTATCCCTCCCCCGGCTTTTCCACATTCCCTCTCCTGCCTCCCCTCCTCGGCCTGAGAGGGGACACCTAGCCCAGGGGTCCAGCCACCACACTTTAGAGACCCAGCAGGCCCGAACCCCGGGTCTCCTGATTCCTGGGTCTCCTGATTCCCGGCTCTGGGCTCAGTCTCTTCATCTGCAAAACGGGAAAACAGTCCAGGCTCTGCTGGTTTCGCCTTGCAGGGGTGAGGACCAAGTAGGACTTGGAGGTGGAGGCCAGTAGCCTTGACCCTGACCCCAGAGGGCTGAAGGGCATCATTAACATTATTATGAAAAAACGAACGGTAGCTTCACAGAAGCTCATTTTCTATGACGCAACGGAATCAGCTGATGAAGACAGGGATTGAGGAATCCTTGGTAAGGAAGAAAATTTTCCCTTTTCTGTCTTGTTCACTCTTTCAATTTGAAAAATTTATGACTTAAAAAAACTTTTTAGATTGGTTTCAGGCCTCTGATTGTGATGTGGGGTTGGTCGTTTATCAATATTTGTTATTTTTCAAAAACTTGATTACTTTCAAAGGGGGCCAAATCCATGAGCCTTGATCATTTTGGAGGGCAGGACCTCCTCCGTCCTCCATCCTCCCAGGCCACGCCCTTCCCCATCCCTGCTGCATCTGGAGCCTCACCTGCAGTGCCGGAATAGTCAGCCACGGTGAGCGGGTACCCGTCTTCCTCAGGGTCCACAGAGAACAAGCCCACGCCGAAGCTCCCGTAGCGGGCATAGGCTGTGCCATTGTCAAAGTCCTCCAGGTCCACGTGGAGCTCGTAGGCAGTCTGTGTGGTCAGGGCGTGGATCCTCTTGAGGCCTGAAGTCGGGGAGAAAGTGGTGGGAGAAGCTGAGGGGCGTAGGAAGCAAATCCCCAGGGAGAAATGATAAATGACAGCTGAGCTCATGCAGTTGGGGACAGAAAGGGACAGCCACCAAGTGCGTGCAATCAGCCCTGGGCTACTTCCTTCTTCCTGCCGGCCTGTGTTGGGCAAGTCACTGAGGACCGACGGATTTCATGTTTGGTTTTCTCTGTTCCCTGTAAGTGGAGCTGTGATGCTTTTCAAACGTTGGGGCTCTGAGCTGGCGGGAGGACTGCAGGAGGTGGGAGGAGGTGGGGGTGACAGCACCCTTACCCAGACTCCAGCCAGAGCCAGACAGGATCCGGTGTTCGCATTTTCTAAACCAGGCCTTTGGCCTTTGCACATGCTGTTCCCTCTGCCAGGGATGCCTGTCCCTACTCCTCCTCACTTGGTTACCTTCTATTCATTTCCGGAAGGCTGCCTGACCTCCCGTCGGCGTTGAGGACCTCCTCTGCCCCTGTGGGTGTTTATCTTTCAGGGTTCCGGCTGCCTATCTTGTCAGTTTCCCCGCCAGTGTGGAAGCCCCATGAGAGTGGCGTGTCCGACCTGACCACTGCTGACCACAGTGCCTGGGCTGGGGCCCGGCACAATGGTGCTCACCCAGCACTGACTTAATGAATGGGAGGCAGGAGGCGGCACCCTCATCCCTCTAGGCTGGCTCTGTGCCCCCATCCCACTCTCTCCCTCCTGCTGTCCCCACCCCACCTCAGCTCTGCCCTGCCCATGCCCGGGGTCTCATGCCAGGCCTCCCTCACCATAAACACATGTGCTCAGACACCCAAGGTGCTTCACTGCTGGTGTGATTAATCTGGATTAAGAGGGCATTTAATGAAATGATTTACAAGTGGGTAGCAGCGAGTGGTATTCCGTCCGCTTCTCCCTCCTGCCTGCATCTCCCGGGCTCCACACCTCCCAGGGTCAGTGTGTGCCGGCTGGAGGTTGTGCGGATCCTCCCTGATCCCGCCCGGACAAGGTGGCTTTGGTCCCAGTCACCAGGTCCAGGAACCAGGAGCAGCTGCTGTGGGAGGAGTCACAGCAAAGCTGACGGCCCAATCCACGTTCCTCCCCAAGGATCTGCCAGAGCACGGGCTTTGAGAGCCTGGGGTCTCACCCGGTGTCCCCCCTCCCTGACCTGCTGCTGAGTCTCAGGGCAGCCGCTCTCCCTCTCTGGGCCCCGGCTCGGCTAGCACAGGACTGACGTGAGGGGCCAGGACAGCATCATCCACGAAAGGGCAGGCGGGAGGTAATCATGACAACAGCCGCCACCTGGACGGGACTCACGAGGGCCCAGCACCGTTCTCAGCCCTTCGTGCAGATGAGTGAATCCAGTGGAATTAGAGTGAGTCCAATTTAATTACAGAATCCCTGGGCAGCTTTTCTGGCAGGGCTGGCCCACTGCACACATTATCCAGGTGCTGACTGCTGCTTCCCAAGGCCCCGGGGAAGGAGTGCGTATGACTCCCTATTTTACAGGGGAGGAAAATGAGGCCCAGGGAGGTTAAGGAGCTGGCCCAGGTCACACAGCTGGTGAGTGGCACTGCTGGGATTTGAACCCAGGCAGAAGGGCCCCGACTCCCTGCTGCTATTCAGACCTTACCCAGAACAAATCAGACGATGCAGGAATAGGGAGAGAGGGAGACCGCCCCTGCCGGAGACGCTGGAAGATTCCTTTTCCCACCACAAAATGGCCACTGGGGCCCAAAGGCCTCCATCAGCCACTCCTCTGGATTGAGTGACGCTTCATGAGCGGTGTCCTGGGGGCTGCTGTGCAGGACTCCCGAGGGAGGGGTGTGTGGGGACCTGGGGCCTGGGCTCCTCTCCGTCCTTCCTCCAGTCCACGCCACCTCCTCCCTCCCTCACTTCCCTGCCTGACTGCCTCCCTCCCTCCCTCCCTGCCTCCCTGCCTCCTGCCCTCCCTGGAGACCGCTTCTGCCGGAGACGCTGGAAGATTCTTTCCCACTACAAAATGGCCACTGGGCCCAAAGGCCTCCATCAGCCACCTCTGGGACGAGGACGCCCATGAGCGGTCCTGGGGCCGCTGTGCAGGACCCCTATGAGGACCTGGGGCTCCGGGCCCTCCCATTTCCAGTCCACGCCACCTCCGCCGCCCGACGCCCCCGCCCGTCTCCCTCAAGTGCCTCCTGCCCTCCCTGCCTCCCTACCTCCCTGCCTCCCTCCCTCCTTCACCTCCCTCCCTCCTTCACCTCCCTCCCTCCTTCACCTCCCTCCCTGCCTCCCTCCCTCCCTGCCTCCCTCCCTCCCTCTCTGCCTCCCTCCCTCCCTGCTTTGCTCTTTGGCTTTCTCCAGCTCTCCCCGCTCTCCCCCTCCTTCCAGAACCGCCCCCAGCCATGTTAGCTGTTCTTCCCAGATTCCCTGGGCCCCTGATCCAACTCCTTCACCAGCTCCCAGTTCAAATCGCAGAGAGCAAGAAAGAGGGCTGACAGCTTGAAACAGACGGGAAACCAGTAAGACCCTAAACCTCACATGGCCACCCCAGTGGATTCTGGCTGGACTAAAGCTCTCAACCTAAAACAACACTAGAAAAACAAAAGAAAAGGCAGGCACGGTGGCTCACGCCTGTAATTCCAGCACTTTGGGAGGCCGAGACGGGCAGATCACGAGGTCAGGAGTTCGAGACCAGCCTAGCCAATATGGTGAAACCCTGTCTTTACTAAAAATACAAAAACTAGCTGGGCATGGTGCTGGGCGCCTGTAATCCCAGCTACTTGGGAGGCTGAGGCAGGAGAATCGCTTAAACCCAGGAGGTGGAGGTTGCAGTGAGCCGAGATCATGCCACTGCACTCCAGCCTGAACTATAGAGCAAGACTCCGTCTCAAAAAAAAAAAAAAAAAAAAAAAAGAGAGAGAGAAGAAAAACAGAAGAAAAAATAGAGGAGACTTAAAATAAAACTAGGAAGGGAAGGAAAGGACAGCAGGGGCTAAAACCCAGAAAAGATACGAAGAAAAGGGTGGCAGAACTGAGTGCATAAACATCTTAAATTCCTAGGAAATAAGTAATAACATGACCCCAAAAAAGAAAAAGAAAAAGCTGAAAGACAAATGGCCAGAAGTTAATACCTATCATGTGTATTGGACAAACGATTGATAACCTTAATATATAAAGAGCTCCCATGACTCAATAGGAAAAGACAAAGCACTCAATGAGAGGGGATGGGGAGGGTGGTGCGGCAGAGGAGGGACCGGCGCTGTTGACATTCCTGTCAGGGCTCGTCTGCAGGATGCTGGAATCAGGACCTGCTTAAATGCTTCCTCCCACACCATCTGCGGCTGCTGATAGATTTCAATTAAGATACCATGAGCACGGGCATCACCGCTGCTCCGGGGGTGGGTGGGTGGTGGCGAGGGCATGCCTCAGCCCTGCCGCCTTGTCCTTTTCTTTACCCCCAGCTTGGGGAGTCTGAGGCAGGGTCTCCCCATCTCCCCTCCTTCCATCCAACAGGTTCAGGGGATGAGGCGAACTTGGTTGGGCACCAGTGTGTGGACCCTGCTGGGGTTACCCCCACCCCAACACATGCATGCTTGTGACAAGAGACCTCCCCTTCCTGGGCCTCAATTTCCTCATCTCTAAAAGGAGGGGACGACAGCAGGGCCCCCAACTAGGTAGGTGTGAGGTTTTGGGGACGATGCATGGGAAGCGTGTAGCTGGGCGCTCAGTGGGTCGGGGGTCAGCACGGGCTGTGGGCATGAAGTCCACACGGGGTGTGACCTTCCCTGTTGTTGGCACCTCCTGGGTACCAGGGCATGGCGGGTCAGAGAGGGCCCTGCCCTCGTGGGCCCGGGTGAGGAGGGGGCATGGGTGGCAGATCTTGCCCAGGGGCCTCCATGCACACAGAGGGGTGGCCCCACCTCGCCACCCCAACCTTGCCTTTGGGGCCACCACCCCAAAGGTGTCACTGAACGTCCTTACAGGCCTGGAGCCCCCCTGACCCCAGCTGCTGCCCAGACCTGCGCTCTCAGCCCCTCAGGTGGTGCTTCCTGCCAGCCATGCCAGCCCACACCCTTCTCACCCTCTCCTTCCTGCCCAAGCCTCCCCCCACCAGCTCTGACCCCGCACAGGGGAGTTCCTCAGATGTCCTCACCCTTCTCACCCTCTCCCTCCCACCCAAGGTTGTGGAACCTCCGCAGCTTGTGGAACTCCCTGGATGTCTGCACGCACCCTGGGGGGCTTAAGTGCAGGAGGACACTGTGGGGCATTCGAGGCCGCCCAGATGACACTCAGGGCACGCGTCCCCCAGCACCTGTGCGTTGCATGTATATTCAACACCTGCAAGGGAGTGACTGCTCCCGGGGGCATAGGGTTTCCTTCTGGAGTGAAGAAAACATTCTGGACCCAGTGATGATGGAGGTAATATTCTGAGTATACTAAAAGCCATGGGGTCATACGCTTCCACACGGGGAATTTCGTTGTATGTAAATTATATCTCAAGAACAACCAGAAAAACCCACCTCACGTCAAGCCACAGCCACCTCCCAAATATATAGGTAGACCTGAAAGTTGTGATTCTTTTAAGATATTCTGTTAAGATAAATATTTTCTTTAGGTAAATGAGGTTTTGTTTAGAATATTTTGTTTAGATAGTGAAATGTTAAGGACTTTCAAAAATTTTAAAATACTGAGTGAATTTTTTTTTTTTTTTTTTTTGAGACGGAGTCTCGCTCTGTCGCCCAGGCTGGAGTGCAGTGGCCGGATCTCAGCTCACTGCAAGCTCCGCCTCCCGGATTCACGCCATTCTCCTGCCTCAGCCTCCCAAGTAGCTGGGACTACAGGCGCCCGCCACCACGCCCGGCTAATTTTTTGTATTTTTAGTGGAGACGGGGTTTCACCGTGTTAGCCAGGATGGTCTCGATCTGCTGACCTCGTGATCCGCCCGCCTCGGCCTCCCAAAGTGCTAGGATTACAGGCGTGAGCCACCGCGCCTGGCAATACCGAGTGAATTTAAAGGTAAATAATAATATTGACAGAACCTTCTGAGCCCCTAGTTTGTGCCAGGCAGGGACTGTGTCCCAGTAGCGGGACGGCCTGCAGTTGCCTGCAGGCCCAAACAGGAGCCCTGGCTGGGAGTACCACTGGCTGCTCCTGGGATTTACATGCCTGGTGTCCCTGGCACCCTTGGGCAGGGCGGTGCCGGGTCCTCCTCTGTCCTCCCACTGCCTGGGATGCTGCTGACCACCTGCCCAAGCTTGCTTGATTCGGGACAGCGAGCAGGTCCCAGGGCGACCCCGGCAGGAACTGGCCTCCAAGGGCCTGTGGGACCCTCAGCCTTTATGAGCACTCGGAGCGCACCCACGCCAATCACTTCCGTTGGCAATGTCTGCCTCCTTCCTTCTGAATGCCTGTCACCTTCGCGCACGACACCTGTGAGCTGGCTCAGGTGTGCCGGGAAACCCAGTCCAAACCCATTCAGGGAGCGGCTGGGACCCAGCTGTGTCCGGAAGGCATGGGGAGGAGGCCCACCTGGGCCGGGAGGCGGGCGGGGTGCTCACCTAGCCAGTGCTCCCCGGTGAGCCTGCCGAAGCCGTCTCGGTACGCGTCCCAGCCCCGGAAGAAGTTCACGGAGCCGTCCTCCCGGCGCTGAAACACCTGCAAAAGGAAGATGGGGATGGGGCGCTGGCACCGACCATCCCAGGACTCACAGCTGGGCCCACCGCGCCCAGAGACTCCTCTCACCCTGCTCCCGATCTGCCCTCTCGGGAGGGCAGGGGCCCGGCTGCCCACTTCCCCCAACAGCCGCCGGCCTGGGGCCTGGAAAATAGCAGGGGCTCCAGAGCCTCGTGGTGGCTCAAGGTGGGACTGACCAAATGCCTACAGGCCCACGAAATGGCTCCTCAGGGAGGCCGAGATGGGCAGATCACGAGGTCAGGAGTTCGAGACCAGCCTGGCCAATATGATGAAACCCAGTTTCCCAGTTTCTACTAAAAATACAAAAATTAGCCAGGCGTGGTGGCGCATGCCTGTAATCCCAGCTGCTCAGGAGGCTACTCCAGGCCGGGCATTGTGGCTCACACCTGGAATCCCACACTTTGGGAGACTGAGGCAGGAGCATCGCTTGAGCCCAGGAGTTCAAGACAGCATAGTGAGACCCCGTCTCCACACAAAATTTTTAAAAAATTAGCCAGGTGTGGTGGTGGGCACCTGTAATCCTAGCTACTTGAGAGGCTGAGGCAGGAGGATCCCTTGAGCCCGGGAGGTTGAGGCTGCAGTGAACTATGATCATGCCACTGTACTCCAGGCTGGGCTCTCTCCAAAAAAAAAAAAAAAAAAAAAAAAGGTAGGGGGGAGTGGCAGGCCAGGCACAGTGACTCACGTCTGCAATCCCAGCACTTTGGGAGGCCGAGGCAGGTGGATCACCTAAGGTCAGAAGTTTGAGACCAGCCTGGTCAACATGGAGAAACCCCATCTCTACTAAAAATACAAAAATTAGCCGGCTTGGTGGCACATGCCTGTAATCCCAGCTACTCAGGAGGCTGAGGCAGGAGAATTGCTTGAGCTCAGGAGGCAGAGGTTACAGTGAGCTGAGATCATGCCACTGCACTCCAGCCTGGGCGACAGAGCGAAACTCAGTCTCAAAAAAAAAAAAAAAAAAAAAAAAACAAATCTCGGTGGGGTGGAGGAAAGTCAGCTTTGGGGCCCACCTCCAGCACTTTGCTTTGGGCCTCAGGTTCCCCAATGGTCAAATAAAGTTGGGAGGGGGCAGGGTCCTAATATCTTTTTCCAGGTCAAAACAAAACTGAACAAAAATCTATCCTCCAGTGTTTTTTTTTTTTTTTTTGGTGCAGTGGCGTGATCTTGCCTCACTGCAAGCTCCGCCTCCCGGGTTCACGCCATTCTCCTGCCTCAGCCTCCGGAGTAGATGGGACTACAGGCGCCCGCCACCACGCCCGGCTAATTTTCTTGTATTTTTTAGTAGAGACGGGGTTTCACCGTGTTAGCCAGGATGGTCTCGATCTCCTGACCTTGTGATCCGCCCGCCTCGGCCTCCCAAAGTGCTGGGATTACAGGCGTGAGCCACCGCGCCTGGCCTATCCTCCAGTTTTTGAGAACCAAGAGCACCCCCCACACACCCCAGGCTTGGCCTCCAGAGCCCGATCCCTCAATAAGCTCCCTCCCCCAAAACAAGCCTGGGCAGGGGTCGGGGGGCTGGGAAACTGGAGTCCAAGTGGCTGCTCAGGGGAGGACGAGGAGCCCACAGCCGGCGGGGTGTGACTTGGGTACCAACGAGTGCCCAGGCTGCCTCTGTTCTTCATTTTAATAACATTCTTGATTTGGGAGTCAGGAATCCCATCGGTTAAATTGCTTTGAAATAATACCACGCTGGTCCTGGCCAGAGCTGCCTGGAGTATTTACAGGATCCGCTGACAATCCATCCCGGCTGGCCTCCCCAGCCCTCCCAGCCCTCTTTCTGTTTAACAAGCCTTTTCCTGCTTATTCTCCAAGGCAGCTACCACGGCCCGGCCGGCCTCCATCTGTGTCAGTCTGATGTATTAGAGATCTGGCTGCGGCACCGGCGAGCTGCCAGTTTCATTACTAAGCAGCCTGATTTCAGTCGCTCGGAACTGCCTGGGTGCCCAGTCTGACCCGAGGCGTCTGCTGTGTGAGCGTTTGCCGATGCTCTGAGCCCTCAGGGACGTGTCCGTCACGGCATTTGGGCAGCTCTGACGTCAGGGAGCTGGAGGGAGATGACACCTCCTTTTTTCGTGCTTTGCTGCCTCAAACCTGGCCCAGCTCTGAAATCTGAAAGTCCTCAGGAGTGACCGGCTCAGGGCGGAAGGAAATTCGATCAGGCTCGGGGAGATCTGAGGAGCAGTGGAGAGCCGTATTGATGGCTGCATATTGGGACCCTGAGCACGCACCTTTTCAAAGGCCTAATCCTGGCAGAAGCTCAGGCTCTCCCCTGAGAAAGCAACGGGCAGCGGGAGCCTGTTTCTGAAGGAGGAGGGGAGCTAGAGGGACCGGCAGGCCCGAAGCCCCCTGGGATGCCTGGCTGGCATTGGCCGTCGGCTGGGCCTCTGCCCTAGGGATTGGGGACCTGGGCATACTCAGTGCTCAGTTCCATAAAGGAGTTCCTGAAGGCAGGGGTTGTGTATCTTGGTTCCAGGGCCCCAACTTTGCCTTAGAGTGCCCCAGCACCCACATCTGTAAAGCCGAGATCATAGCCACACCTTCCTCCCAGGCTACGACCATCCACCGAGAATAAGCTCAGGCCTGGCACATAGCAGGTGTTCAGCAAGTGCCAGCTGGATGGAGAGCAACAGCACCGAGGCCCAGGCCTGGGCAAGGGCTCCTGATTCCACTGCGCCTCTCCCAGACTCCGGCCTCCACTCTCCCCCAGCCCTCCCAAGGGGTCTGTCCCAGCCTCTCATTCACACAGATGTTCCACTGAGCATCTCCTGCCAGGCACCAGCTGCAGAAGCCAAGTCAGCGGGTACAAGGTCACAGTTCTGCCCTCAGGGACCTTAGGGCAAAGGAACACAGGAGACACCGTGCTCAGGGGACCCCAACCCGGTGAGAGGCAGGACAGACTTAGAGGATGGGGAGAGAGCAGGTCTGGCCAGCAGGGTGGCCCTGGAGGAGGGGCAGGGTCCTGGGCCCTGTGTCTGCCTGCTGGGCAGGGCAGGAAATGCAGGGAAGTAGGCCACAGTAGGGGTGGTGGGGAGACCCCAGCAGCCTGTGGGCATGCCCAACCAGGGACGGGTGGGCTGATGTACAGGTGCCCGGCTGTGCCTCTTCCAAAAGGCTCAGAGGGACCATCCAGAATGAGAGCAAGAAGCCCCGGTAACCCAGATGACAGCCTCCGAGAGGATCCCCCAGGCTTTGCCTCCAGCACTCACTCCCACCCCGGGATGCTTGGAACCAGTGCCGCCACGTACGGAACTCGCCAGACCCCAGCCCTGCCCTGACTCTTCAGGATGCGGCGGGAGGGGCTGTTCCCGCCCCTGTGTCCTGGCTGATGGGATGATGGGCAGTCGAGACTCAGCGTGGGGACTGCGTGCTCTCTGCGTGCCCATGTGCCTCCCAAAGCCCAGGCGCCCCACCCTTACAGGGCCGAAGCTTGGACACCGGCCAGAGGCCAGGAGGCCGTGAGCAGCAGAAACAGGGTCCGACTACATCTTGTGCCTTTAGTCCCATGACTGTCTGGACCTACCCTCGCTGCCGGCGCCCGACACTGTGTCCACACTCGCGCTTGGTGGTGGGTCCATTGACCAGGGTGGCTGCAGCCTTGCGTGTGCCCCCCTACCCAGGCCTCTGGTGCCAAGAGCTGGTCCCTGCACCCACAGTCCTCGGCCCCCTCTTTCCCACTGCCCTCCCAGTCTGGGTGCCAGTTACAGTGACCCCACCATCCCCCCGGGGCTCCTCCTTGGTGCCAATCAATTGGGGTGAGCACACCTGGCCCCCTGCCTTTGCCTCTGCCCAAGGACACTAAAATCACACATGGCTGGCACTCCTGTCCATGTAGCCCAAATCAACACCCACTTAGAAACGGCAGCAATTGGCCAGGTGTAGTGGCTCACACCTGTAATCCCAGCACTTTGGGAGGCCGAGGCGGGCAGATCACCTGAGGTCAGGAGTTCGAGACCAGCCTGGCCAACATGGCGAAACCTGTCTCTATTGAAAATACAAAAATTAGCCAGGCATGGTGGTGGGTGCCTGTAATCCTAACTACTCAGAAGGCTGAGGCAGGAGAATCGCTTGAACCCGGGAGGCAGAGGTTGCAGTGTGCCGAGATCCCGCCACTGCACTCTAACCTGGGTGACGAGAGCGAGACTCTGTCTCAAAAAAATAAAAAAATTAACTGCAGCAACTGTCGGCCAACGTAGGCACTTTACCGTGTGCAGTGACAGACTGCGGACCCCCTCTTGAGGCACCAAGACACATCCATGGTCTGGCCTTGGAGAAGTGGCCTGCAGACTGACCATGCCCCAGGGAGATGCAGCCGACGTCACCACACTGGCACACACATCCAGACTCCAGACTTAGCTTAATGCAGAAGGACATGCACTGATACTTTCTTTTTTCTTTTCTTTTTTTTTTTTTTTTGACACAGAGTCTCACTCTGTCGCCCAGGCTGGGGTGCAGTGGCACAATCTCAGCTCACTGCAACCACCGCCTCCCAGGTTCAAGCAATTCTCCGCCTCAGCCTCCCGAGCAGCTGGGATTACAGGCACCTGCCACCACGCCTGGCTAATTTTTTTGTATTTTTAGTACAGACGGGGTTTCACCATCTTGGCCAGGATGGTCTGGAACTCCTGACCTCATGATCCACCTGCCTCAGCCTCCCAAAGTGCTGGGATTATAGGCGTGAGCCACCGCGCCTGGCCTTAGTGCACTGATATTTTCTATCGTGTAGTACTCCACTCTATTTGACTGGAAAAATAATGTTGATCAAACCGATTCAGTTGATTTTGCCAGTGGCCCACGGAGTACTGCTGCAGTTTGGGAACCGCTGACAACCTTTGCCGTGGGCTGTCCTGATTTCTTGGTTCAAATTCCGAGGGACCGCCTGTGCCGGGCCCTGTGCTAGGATCTCAGGCTTGGAAACCAGCCCCAAACTCGAGCCAATGACAGCCCAACGTGGCCTGACT